CCCCAAAACCCCAAAACCCCAAAACCCCAAAACCCCAAAACCCCAAAACCCCATTCCTTTGCTCAGCATTGAGAAAATAGTGTTTTTAATTAATTAACAGGAATTATTCTTTTAGATATCACCAAGATCGTGACTAGATCAAAGTTAGACAATTTTGATAATTTTGAGTATCAGAAATGAACTGATTTTTCAAATCATATAGTCTCATTCTAGAGGTGTACGGTTCTTCATCATTGTACTCAAGTGAAAGGAGTAAGATCCTACCTTAGAACTAGCTCTTAGCCAGATATTTCAATCTAGTGAATTGCATTGGGATATCTCTGATCTAGAAAAGAGTAAGGGCAAAGTTAAATTGGATAAAAAGTTCAGCCGACCTTATATAGACTAATCACTGACATTCAGAAACTCTAGTCCAATAAGTTTTCATCATTTGAAAAGGAAGTTAGCTTACCATGACTGAATGTGAGTGCCACTCGTATCTATCTTAGGTTAGATAATGAAATGATGGTTCAATTTCAGTGGTGTGTATAAGAGTGCTCAACAATGTAACTAGGTTACTCTGACAGCTCCAATATTTTTATCATCATTTATGGAAGGGAAGAGCGCTTACGAGAGTCACTGCACAGCCATCCATGCTTGTTTCAAGTCTAAACACAACATTAAGGGTGTCAATGGAAGAAAAGAGAAGTCAGAGATCTTGGTGATTGTTGAATCATCATAGAGATGTCAAGAGTAGCAATTAGTGTCTTCATCCTCCCTTTTTGAAAGAAAGATAGATGCTTACCTATTCATACTGAGTTGAATGAATGTCTTAGAGTCAGAGATGTGTATCAGAAAGAGCCTCTCAGCACAAGGGAAGATGGAAAATCTTCCTCAGACTGGGGCGGCTGTACGTTCATCATGTACATCATCATCAAAATTTTCATTTTGAAATCTAAAATAAGGTTAATTTCATTCAAAATGAACATGGAAGACAATCTATTGTCAGATAAATGCCTCGATTTAGACTAATCAGGAACAAAACGTTTGTCAGACTCGTCATCAAATCATCTTTTTACTAGATTGCCAAAGGAGAAAGGTGCTTACAGTTATTTCTTGGTATTGAACTACCTCGATCGATTTGATTGGCTCTAATTATTCTATACACGGGGGACATTAAATACAAAGTTTAGGAATCGAAATATCAGATTGCGGCTCGAATACTTTTAGTATCCGATCTTCATCGAGGAACTCAGTCCGCCCGTGGTTTTGTCATCAAATGGAGGAAGGAAATAGAAAGTCAGCTTACCTTGTGATCTTCATCCAAAGTTAGAAGTAGCGCTTCAAATCTAATGCAAAGGTTAGACAAGGAAAGATTCATAAATGTTAGAGGATCAGAATTAGGTAAAAGTATCTATCTTCACTGCTCATTCAGTAGCAGAACTGACAGAGTTTCTCATCATTAGTTTAAAAGAAAGAGGCATACCTTGACTCAAAAAGAGTTTCCCATCCTTACACCAAAGGTTTTAATCCCATGATGTATCTTAGCTTCCAAACGAGCTGTTTAAAGCTTAGAGTGCATTCTGCAGTGTTCTTGCAGTAATTTATGTATTCATCAACTACTGTGGGTACATACAGAATACAACCTCTATTCTCTGCCTTCCTCATCATCGACAAGGAAGAGCCATGTTGGGAAGCCGTATCTTAATTAATTTATTATTAAACACGATGTAAATTACTTTATATGGGGTTTTGGGGTTTTGGGGTTTTGGGGTTTTGGGG